GGGGGGGGGGCTGTTTTTCCTTTTCACCCATTTGTTTCAGACTGACAGAATGTGTTGAAATGAATCTCTCCTGCTCACACAATCTTGTGACGTTCGCCATGGTTGTGTGAGTGTGTGTGTGTGTGTGTGTGTGTGTGTGTGTGTGTGTGTGTGTGTGTGTGTGTGTGTGTGTGTGTGTGTGTGTGTGTGTGTGTGTTTCATGTGGCGCATGAAAAAAGAGAGAAGACGTGAACTAGATTGACTCACTGGCTAGCTACAGTATAGCTGAATTCAGGAATATTTTTATGTATTTTATGTAATCAAGCGTTTCTTTCACATTAATATCAACACGGTTTACTCTTATGGCTGTGTTGACAGAGCGAAGAAGCTTACATTTTGATTCCAACAAAAAGAAACACAACATAACAGCGGTCCTATTGTGAGAGACTGTATTTTTTTTTCTTTTAGGCTACATTATCAAAACAGCCTGCACAAGAGACTTGCAGACATAGTGTTCCCTAAGTATCCGTCTTGATTCGACAATGTCTCACTACATTGGGTTAAACAGTAAATTATAGGTTTGGGCCAAGGTTACATACTCTGTAGAAATGCAATTTTGTATTTTTAACGTTATTTTCCATGCCCAGAAATGCATTACCTGGTCAATGGTCAAATGTTTAGGACACTTTTTTCTCTAAGAAGGGAAATAGATTACATTATTATCTGCAGTGCCTTCAGTGACTGTGCATTAATTCAAACATTTCACCCATCTCAGTCTCTGCTTCTGCCCAGCGTTGTAATGCTACACTTCCATTCCTAAAGACAGCTCCCTCTCAAGAATCTGCTTCTTGGTCCATTTTGTTCCAAACCATTGTTGGGTTGACCTGCTATAGGGGGCCCAAATGTACAATAAAATGAACTACAGACCTAAGCAACGGCACTGCAGAAAGAGATTAGCAGATCATAAATACCCTGAAAGAATGAAAGGACCCTGACAATAGTAGTGACTGTAAACAGAAATTATAGCTTACTTAGGCCTCTTTTATAAAGTAACCTAGGAACCTTCTGAGGGTTGAATAGTGGCCTGTCAGACTCTGAAACCTCATTAGCCTATTTTATACACACACGAAGAATGGTGTGTAGAAGCTGATATATTTTGTTTAACTTTAGATTTTAATTACTGATATACACAAACGTATAGATTCTATGCCAAATTCCTGCACTCTTTGCACTCTCTTTTCACAATAAAACACACATTTTGTTTAAAGTTATTAACCTGCTAGCAGTGTATTGCCATGGGGAGTAAGAAGAAAACCTAAGTATGTTATGCTACATAGCGTACTTGAGTATTCCATGTTATTCAACCTTTTTTTACTTCTCTAAAATGTATAGTAAATAGTAATACTATACAACCTAAAACACAAACATCAGTAGAATGCAAATCCACAACAACAGTAAAATGATCAAAAACATAATGTAGCCTATTATGCTAAAACACTGACAGGGACCATTTCTGCAGTAGAATAATTGCATAATTTAGTACATTTTGCTGAGAAAGCCTCGATACTTTCACATTTGGAAAGCAAGGCTTCTAGGTGCAGTCGACTATTTTCACCATGGGATATAAATAACTTGATTGTCTATTTTTAACCTACATGTAAATCAATCAGATTGAAAAAAAACAAGGAGACAAAGGAGAAATACTGCAGACTCTCACATTCCAGTGCCTCCTAAAACCCCCTGGAAGGACATGTTGGATTGATGAGTTAAAGAAAGTTTACGATCAGCACATGAAAGCAGCATTAGTACCTCCCCCCCTCCTCTCTCTCCTCCCCCTGTGTGTGTCGCACCCCCTGCCGCTGATTCACAGCAGCGTCACTCTATTTAAATTCACTGAGCCGTGGCTGTCGGCATCTTCTCCTCCCGTCCGAAAAACTTTGTTTTTTTAGCTCGAACAGAAATCTCCGGATAAGGTGTTGTTTTACCCTGAGGTTTATAGTTTCTCCCCCCCCCCATGTCTGCAGAGATGCGGCGTAGCAGCATAGCTCCGGTAAGTGGGAGAAAAGACAATTCATCAAAACGTGTTTTAGTCCCGTCATTGTTCAACATGTAGCTTCTCTGCTGTGCATATTAAGAGCCCGGACATTGTTAACGCTATTAGAGCTGTAAACTACCCCCAGTGTGTCCATTCATTACTTAGTTGGCCATTGTTGAAGATTTTTAACGACAGATTTCGCTTTGAGCAGGCTTGGGGACAGCTACTGTTGGTCTACTTTCTGGTTAAACTTCCTCTATCCTTCTGCTTATTGTCTTTTTTAAAGCGTGCGGAGGCGTTTTTCCTAAATGAATGTTTGTTCACAGCAGGAGGGAGATAATCTTTATGGGGATGTTTCAGCCCACCACCTGCAGTAAATGAACTAATCAGTCCGTGAGAGGGCAGTTTTCGCGCTGGAGCTCGTAGAAACTCTATCTAATAGTCTTATTTATGTGAAAACGTGTGCTGCTGGAATCGTGTATTTCAATGTTTGTCTATATTTAGCTAGCTGGGCTTAATCCTGGCTTATGTAATGTATCAGAAACATGGTAAAGACACCGTAGCTGACTGTCATTGTCACTGCATCAGAGCTTTTCAAAGTAAAGTTGAGTTTTTTAAAAATTAAATTGTACTTATCTCTATCAATCCACCTTATAAGGTCAATTTTCCCACTGCACTCTCAGCAAAGTGCTGTTTTCACAGTTTAAAATGCAGACAATGGGCCTATTTTAGCTGCATCTAATATGAACTAATAATAGGTTATTGTTCAAAGAATCACCGACAGCTGTATCCTTGCCTCCACGTCTAAGGTTGCCAAGCTTATTCCAGACTGATCTGTGAAGCCTTCTGTTCCTTTGTTTCTTCATCTCAACTTAAATTATGGTAAATGACAACAGCAGCTGCGAGGTGGTACTTCATGTAAAACTCCTAACTTCAAAAACTGACAAATGTTTACATGGCATTTTTTAAACAAGCATGTCTCCATCTCCAGGTCCCGATCAAGAACATCGAGAGGGAGCTGATCTGCCCCATCTGTAAGGAGCTCTTCACCCACCCGCTGATCCTGCCCTGTCAGCACAGCGTCTGCCACAAGTGTGTCAGAGAGCTTCTCATGCTCAACCATGAGGACTCTTTTGATGCCGGGTCCGAGTGCTCAATGCCGGGCAGCCCAAGGTCCAGGGTGCCCTCCCCGTCCATGGAGAGGCTAGACAGGCTTGTGAGATCAGGTGGGTCTCGGGGTAAGGAGCCAGAAATATTAGTTTTTCTCCATAGGTTGAACACATATGATCTTATTATGTACAGATTAGTGAAGGGAAGAGGATCTCACATTTCTCTTTTGAAATCCTTTTGAGGCTTTAGTAGGAACAGTGGTCTCACTATGTTGTTGGGTATCCCTACCATTTTAGTTGTTATGTGAGATGATGGAAGCTAATAATCAGGCATTTGTTATATTTAAGTATTGAATGTATCTTTGGCCGTCTGTGAAACTTCCAAGGAAGGCAGTATGAGTTTTCTTTCCCGTCATAATTTTGTCCAACTATCATCTCAGTGGCTGCATTCAACAGGTTTCAGTGGCTGGAGCCTGACATTTATCTTGCATAGTGAAAGACAAAAGGCTGAAAAAAATATCTATATAAAAAAATAAATGTGTGGTTACATATGGAAACTGAATTTGAATGAATAGCTAACCAACAAAGGAGACAATGCAAATTTTAACCGTTGAGCAACACAACAATGGACCAAGCTTTATTGTTTGATATCTGGGTTTCGGTGTGGCACAGACGCTGCCCCTCCTCCCTCTCTTGTCCCACATAAACAAGAGCGATCATAAAAAGTTATTTAATCATTTTACGGCTTGGCTGTAACATTGTCAGTCATCACTTCTGCCTCTAATCCTGGCTTCATTAAAGAGACAGCAGGGGAACTTTGACAAGCTGTAGTTTTGTCTAGAAAGAAATGTTGACAAGCTCTCTCAAGCCCTAATTGTCTCCACTGTCTGCCTCTGATTGCCCAGAGGCATCAAACATCCCCGTCAAGCATGCAGGGGCTCATGTATTTTAATCGGATATATAGGCATATGTGTGTCCTGTGTAGACATGAGTGAACAAAGCACATCTTTTAAGGTATTTTAGAATCTTATAACCATGCTGAGCTGGAGGGAGGAAAAACTGCGGTTGCAGGTGTTTTGCAGGTAGCTAAATTGGCTTGTCACAAAAAATGTTATGTTCCCTGCTGAACACATGGCACTGCTGCAGCCAAGCCTGAGCAGGTCAATGTCTAAGCCTTAAAAACGGCATGACTGGACACAAAGCTGTCTTTCTGCTTTCTGAGAGCTCTGGGCTACCGGCCATTTGTATTAAGATGTCTTCTCATTTGAACTCTTGTCTTGTCCACTCTAGTTGAGAAAAACAGAGTTGTGTCTGACTTCCATTCTACATCGCCTGCTAATTCTAATGTAATATGGGTTCATAATGAATAATGGTAACAAAGCAAATCTAGGTCCTACTGATAGTGCAACATCTTACAGAATACATATAAAACCAATACCATTTTGTAAAAAACATTTTGATCCCTTTGAAGCTTACTAGGTGGTCAAATCCACCAGTGTTCATATATCTATCTTTTATTTTGGCTAACAAAATATTTAACATACTTTTCATGTAGTATTAACAGTTAAAGCTGTATCAAATGTAAAGTGTCTAATCAATAACCCCCTACTACATGAAACTTAGTGGTATTTGGTGTAACTGTAACCTGGTGTCCATTTAACTGAGATGCCACGTAGCCTCAGAGCTAATAGGATCCCCAGAGTACAGGGAGGTGAACTACTTTTTGGGAGCTATTCATCCAAACCTCTGAGAGCGGGCCCTTGAACACAGCCTTCCTCATTCAGACTCCCCTTTTCAGCCTGAATGAATTCATTCTTCACTGGCAGGACTGCATGTGTTGACGCAGGAAATATTCAAATACTGCTTTTGGTGTAAACAAATCTCACGCCTTGCTAAAAGTGAGTTTGTGCTAAAGGACAACATGTTTTCTAGTTTCATTCTGACTTATTGTGAATTGATGCAGAAAGTAATTTAAAACTTAATTTAGCAGCATCTCATAAGGAAATGTGTAATTCCCTTGGGGATTTACAAACATGATTTTTTTTTTTCTCTGTGTAAAATACATTTAATCAGCAGATTACATAATGCAAATGATCTGTGCTTTAAGAATATTTGGGAAACCTCAAAGTACATTATGAGCAAATGAACACCCGGGCAGAACAACCAAGCATTCTGCTGGCCCCCTCAACACTGGGAGAACAGATCATTTGTAGCCATGGTGACGCGACCTGCCTGTAAGGAATGAATGAGGGATTAGGTGAAGGGAGAAAGAAAAGACTTAAGGCTATATTTATCAGTGTGCAGCTTGGACAAGTCTGGCTGGGCATGGAGAGAGGCAAGGCGGCTACTAAAACTCCATCAACATCTTATTTTCTGTTGCCAGGGCTCATGAAGGAGCATGATGCATTGTTGTTCAAAAGCTAACTCTTGACAAGTGCACTGAAAAGTTGGTTTTAAGATTTCTGCTTGAACATATTGGGGAAATAAGCATATATTTTTTATTTTACGTTGGTGATAATGATTTATGCAACTCGAATGTATGCACACAAATATGTAAATATTATACTAGAGGAAGGACTGTTAGCTGAAAATTTGAATGTCTTGTACATAATGCAGTTTACAATTATACCAGTTCCAGTTTTTTGAGTCTGGTTTTACTTTTGAAATGATGGTTTCCTAATTTAAAAACAAGGTAGATAAAAGCATGCCTCGCTTTTCTCACTTCCGACTATTGATTTTGTTACCTATAGCAAGTGAGCTAATTAAGCTAACAGTAGCTCTGAATTCATGATTTAAAGCTGTAGGTCCAGTGGGAGGGGTTCAGTGAACAGTCAATAAACACATGTATAGTTTGTTTTAACTTGGGGAAAAAACTATAAAAGGCTGGTTGTATTGTTTCTTTTTTTAGGATGTTCTTACTTTGGACAGAGCCAAGCTAGCTGTATTCCTGTTTTTTTTTTAAATGTTTTTTTTATTTTGTCTTAATACCAGTTGAACTAAGCTATTCATTTCCTGGGTTTAGCTTCATATTTGGCAAGAAGTCAAATCATGTCTCCCAAAATGCCAAACTAAGGTGTTCTTTTAATGCACATTTTACAGTACACTTAGCCTAGTTTTGAAATATCAATGCAACTTAAGTGCACAAATCAAGAGTTGGTTTTACTTTTAACAACTGTTCACATCCTGTATGTATGGTTGTATGTGTATTTTTAAACACACTGTTTGTTTCACTATAAACTGCATTACCAGATTTTTCTTGTGTTAACTTTTAAGTTGGCTTTGTTTCTTAATTGTCACGTTTAACTAAAAATGGTTTCTCACGTCACTTCACATTATGCATTGTTTCTTTTTCATGTTGGTCTCACCTCACTTTTCTGTTCATTGCTTGCAGCCACAGTGCGAAGGTCGTTGGGAAGTCGAGGTAGACGAGGGATCCGTTTTTTGAATAGCTGTAGTAGTGAGTACAGTGTTACTAGAAACCCTGTGAAACCCTAGTTTGGTTCTTCCTTTTCTCTACTTAGTCTTCTTCAGCCATGTCCACACGACCATACAAACTCACACCACTGGCTAGTTACTTTTCAGCGGATTCAGTGTGGCTGCTGAATTTTAAGTTATAAATTAAAAATAATATAGGCTACCCCTTTTTAAAAAAATGTCTACTGAGCTTAAAAATTATCTAATTTTCATTCCAGATTTAACAAGGGCTTTAAAGGTGATTAGAAGGTTTTGCATGCTTTTGGTTATAAGGCTTCTTTATGTTTGGAAACGAGGGGGGAATGGTGAAACCCTTAAAGCGATGATGCGTCAGCATACAGGGAGGCTGACTAGAGGAATAGGGTGGAGTAAAGTAGGAGAGATGAAAATCAAATAAAGCTAGAGTCCTTGATGGGGAGTTTTGGCAAGTAACTTTTTAATGAATTAAAAGGTGCCGAGACTGAAGTAACTGTATGTGCATGCACTCGCTTGGCTTATTAGTTATTTCGAAAAACCTGTTGGAAAGTTAAGCTTTTTTTTATTGAGCTGGACAACTGTTGAGTCAATCGCACACTCGGAAGAAAAACCTCCAATGTGCTTGGGCTTGCTAAAATTCCTAACTGGATTGTTCTGACTGATACCTGTGTGCCTTTAGGGTACTGTACATGCTTGATTTAAAAATAATTAGTGCTTGAGAAACAGTTTATAAGAATGCAGACCTGTTCCAGCCTACTTCTAATCACTTTGGGTAAGATGGATTCATTGAAAAGTGTCATTTCTGGCCAAGTAAAACACAACTGAATAATGAGATACTAACTGAGATCTGTTGCTCTGATTAGGCCTACTTGTGCAGGTATTTGACAAGCTCAGTGGTTTTATAGAAACATTTCAAGCACAGATATGTATTTGACTTTTAATATACTCTCTATACTAATTTCCAGGAGTTGCCTTGAAATTATAAAATAGAATGGCAGCAAACGATGAAGAGTTGTTAACAGGCCTTAATAAACAGGACTCTATTTTGTTATTTACATTGAAACAATAACAAATTAAATGCACATGAACATTGTTTAATATTAATTTAGATACGTGAATACAATCACATTTACAGTCTAACTTTCTGAGTAGCAATGCTACGTCAGTTCAAGCATCAGACGCAGTCTGATCAGTGCAGGGGAAAAACCAAGCCCTTTTTGCTCTGCAATGACTCGTCAGTTTCTGCCTTCCACTCTGCCTCCCTCTGCAGATACACACACACACACACACACACACTTTGCTGCAGGCATCTCCAGTCTGCTTGGTGTTCGTTTACACCTGCTGAGTCAATATGCAGTGACCTAACATGCACATGAATACATATACAGTATGCATGCATTCACTCATCATCAAAGTCAAAAATTGTCATATACTCCTCATCCAATGACTTTTATTTTAATGTCATCACCATTATCAGACTAAGTTTTTCACAGTCACACCACGTCCACCTTTGTCATATGAATTCAGGTAGGTAGGGTCATTGATCTGTGGCAAACAAAGCTCCATATTTCAGTTTGTTGTCTGGTCTCAGACAGATTCGACCTCTAGGTAGTTAAGCGTCCCTGCACTGTCAGTCTTTAGTTCTGCTCACATCACACGGCATGCACATGGCTACACATTTCACATAGTTTACGTTTTCTGTTCTGCCCCTGCTTTCCCCTGAGCGTCACCTTTTGCAAAGTGTGGTTTTCAAGTCGTGTGTTCCTGTATTTCACTTACCTGAGGAGTGTTTGATTTAATTTTCAGGTCCTCGGAAACGAAGTGGAAATACTGGCTTACAAACTGAGATAAATCCAGCACTCCTTTCTTCCCCTCTTTCCCAAAAACGTGATGCAATAATTTTGTCATTTATTTTGCCTTGTAGCGAGTTCAGTTTGCTGGCTTTGAGTGTGTTGAACAGTGTTTTGCGTTCCCCAATGCTTGCGTCTGTGATGTGACCTTGTGCTACAGCTCCTTGTTTCCCCTCATGTCACTGTGTTGTTGCTTTGTTACAATGCTGCTGCATCTGTAACAAGCACACTCTCGTGAGAAACTCTTAAAGCAGCTTTGCTTTAAGAGGAGATTTGCTGTATTATGAAGATAAGTGTTGATGCATTGAACTGGACATGTAATATTAAATGTGAATTCATTCAAGACATTTTTATTTAAAATGTTTAATTTCTACTTCACACAATGTAATTCTGTTACATTGCTTGATTTTTAAATATGCTTTGTTTTTTTTAATACTTTCTATTTTTGTAATCACTCATACTAGGTAAGTGTAACTATTTCCTTTGTCCAGATCATTGTGAGCGCTTGCATACTCGTCATTCCCATGGTAAATGTTAAATGACTTGCCGTCTTTAAATTGATTTCTCATACCGACAGTGCACTCTCTATTTGCTCCAAGGATGCCATCTTCCCTGTGACTATCCTGTGTTTTCAATCTGCCCCAGTACTCTTGGAAAGTCTCCCTTCTTGGACTTATTTCACTATAATGACAACTGCTAAACAAATGGCCTGTACTGATGTCTTGCCCCATACAGCCATGTCTTTAGAGAGTAGTGGTCATTGTGGAAATGAAGCACAAAGGGAGACAGACTGAGACCCTATTTGTGAAGGCTTATGTGTTATCAAAGGCATTTTTTCCTTAAGATCATACTTGGAAAATCATGCAGATGATGTAATGCTGCTTTTGTGACTCCAGCCCAGAATGTGTTCAACACAAATGGAGTTCACATTCTTTTTTCAAAGCCCCCATTTAACTCCTGGGAACTATGACTTCAGTTTGACTTCAAGTCAAAGGACATTGTTGTTCACATGCCAAAATAGGGCCTCAGTCAAGAGCTGAAACTGGGTGACCCGAGCTATGGCCCTCGATTATGCATGATCTTTTTTCTCACTTGTCCCTCTTGACTCTCCTCCAGGCTCCATCTCGTCACCGGGGTGGCGCAGAGGGTCTGTGACTCCCCGGGTCACCACCATCCCATGCCCAGGCTGCCAGCATGACATCGACCTCGGAGAGCGAGGCATCAGCATGTTGTTCCGTAACTTCACGCTGGAGAACATTGTCGAGCGCTACCGCCAGGCCGCCCGTGCAGCCGTCGCCATCATGTGTAACATCTGTAAGCCTCCGCAGCAGGAGGCCACCAAGAGCTGCATGGACTGCAAGGCCAGCTACTGCAACGAGTGCTTCAAGCTGCACCACCCCTGGGGCACGCCCAAAGCTCAGCATGAGTATGTCGGGCCCACCACAAACTTCAGGCCCAAGGCAAGTGTCCTCTATCAATGCCTTTGTGAAGACTTTATTTTCCTCTATCAGTTGTTTTCTAAAGGCTCAAAGACACATTCACTGCATTTTTACTCAGCTGTTGGACTATGAACATCTTTCAGGAGATAAGATGTCACATGAGTCCAAAATAAACATTAGCATCTATAGATTTGGCTTGAACTAGTTAAATGTTTGAGGAGAATTCAGCTGGAAATCTTTTACTATCTGGTTTTCCTGATCATTACCTGATGTTCAGGAATGTTGTTGGCCTTGCAATTAGCCAACTACAAAGCTCGGATCCAATAATAATTTAAATATCTGAAAACTTGAGTCACTGGTTTGAATATATAATTGCATTGCTTTTCCAATCCCTTTAGTTGATCAAACATGCCTTCTTCCTGAGGATCTTGAAAAAGTGCTGATTTTTTAAATGTTTTAATTCTATTTTAAGACTTCAGGAAATGGCTCACAGAGAACTGTCTAGAAGCTTTTTATGTCCAGGCCATCTTCCGCTTTCACTTCAGTTTTCGATCACTGTAGATTTAAAGAGCTGTTTATTTTAACCCATTGTTCTGTTAAATACATCAGGTCCTCATGTGTCCAGAGCATGAGATGGAGAAGGTGAACATGTACTGTGAGGTCTGCAAACGACCAGTGTGTCACCTCTGTAAACTGGGAGGATCCCACGCCAACCACAAAGTCACCTCCATGGGCAGTGCCTACAAGATCCTCAAGGTAACACCTTCACATAATGTAACACTTTGAGAGGAGAGGCCCGCTGCCTCTGGGTGTGGTGGAGGTGTCGAATAAATCTGTGCAAAGTTATGGGTTATTTGGAGTAAGGCTAAAACCTACGGTTCATTTTTATCATCGATTCATTTTTCTAGATTAATCCTTTGGTCCAAGATGATTCAAAATGTCTTGCTTTATCAGACCATACCCATTTTTTTAATTTTTTTTTTTTTTAAAGATTCCATTTTATACAAAACAAAGTGTAAAGCAGGATATCTCCTTATTTGATAGGGTAAATCTGCACCTATCAATGAAACATTTCTGTTTTTTTTAATTCATAGATGGATTAACTAATTGTCACAGCTCCTATAACAATTGTAATGTGTAATACAATTCTCTCATAACAAGAATTGAACTGAGATTGAACACAATGTCACTTTTAAGAAAGCCTTTTAAAATGGTGTCAAAGCAGCCTTGTAACTTCAGTACGCTGAAACTTGAAAACATGTCGATGATATTTAGTACAATCTACTAAAATGTGATATTGTATCTTAACGTAAAGCTCCCTTCAAGGCAGATTGAATATCAGAAGTTAAGTGACTGACTGATCCCTGCATCTCTCATGTCCTGCTCAAATATTAATGTCTCACGTGTACCTGTGCTGCACCAGACCTCGGATGTCATCGCTCTTTTGGAAACTAAAACCCAGGCTGGCTAACAGGGTTAAAACAAATTGGTGTAATGTGCGTTCTTCAGATTTTTTTTTTTCTCCTCTCGGTAGAAATGATTTATATCAGTTTGAGTGTTAGGTTTAGCTTATGTGGGAAAAGTGTCTCTAGATTATTCTATAAGAGTTTTTAGTGGCTGAGGCAGAATGAGACAAAAAGCACATGAAACCTTTTAACAAAATGGGTTTACACGTATTGATTAGTAATCTAATCTTGCTTGCATGAACACTCAGCTTAGTGGACATGATGCAAGGTGGTTTAGCACACAGAGGCAGAATCTGTTTCCTAATTCAATCTGCTAGCCTGTGTTTGCACAAACACTGTGCTGCTTAATATTTAATGAGACCATTTGTTGCCCATGATTTTGTGTACATTGTCTCTACAAATTGTAGGGAGATGTATTGAATGTCCCGGAATCCTTCGTCAGTCAGGGAGAGGCTCTGGTTTCAATAACTTAAAACAATAATGCCCTGTCATTGTTATACTGAATGTTGTCTGACACAGCACCCACTGTAACAGGCTCTCACGCTCTCACAATGAAGGTCATACAGGACGCCCTGCTCAACAGCTGCAGTTGTGAATGTGATGTAAGATGAGAGAAAAATACGTCAACCTATGTCAGAGTTTAGGAATGTAAATCTCTCTCGAGTCCTTAAAATGGAACATTTGTTAATGAAGTTTCATGTGTATCGGATATAACCAAAGCCCAAGTTATATCTTGTTATTTGTCATCTTAGTGCTGTGTACGGGCTTCAGAGTTTTAAAGCTTTTTGTAAAACTAACATTATGTGCTGATGTTTTCTCTCCCCAGGAGAAGCTAGCCAAGAGTATCCATTACCTCATCAGCAAAGAGGACCAGGTCAGGGCTCAGATTACTGATCTGGATCTGCTCATCAATCAGACGGAGGTGAGAGCTGACTCATCCTGCTGCAGGTCCTTTCCTCACTCTGCTGCCAGAATCACGTCTTATGCCCCCTCAGAAACGAGTCCCTTTGCTCGATGTTTTCAAGAACAATGAAAACGCATGTTCTCTTTTCTTACAGAATACAAATATTTATACAGCTTACACAAACCAGTGAGATAAATTGAGCATTGTCTGTGTACGAATAAGGAAGGTCACTAAACAAATGTTATGCAAACCACACAAACACGGATCATAGGATTTGCCTACGAGTGTCCCTCCTACATGTCTGGGTTTCAGCCTCTGAGCTTGTTCCTCTTTCACTTGTATGCTGGTGCTGAATGGGTAGTGTTTACATATGTCTACACTTTTGATGTTTGTAAGCAGGGTGTGTAGGACTGATATGTCTGGGATGCTCTTTAAAGAATTGTTGGTCCATAAAGTCTTCTTTCGTAATACCTAAGTTGTGTAATGTGTTATTTAAACTTAAGTTATTGTACTTCCTTGAATATTACTGCAGAAATTAGGATGCAATATATTATATTTTCAACTGTTTATATCCACCTTCTTTCAAACCAGAGTTTGATACAATGATCAAATACTCTGACCTTTCAAAAATGTTTGCATGTAGGGAGGTACATGAGAACATTTTATATCTTTGTACAAACTAACAACAAAATGTATCTTCTAAAAGGACAATGGACAGCTAGCAGAGCGCCAAGCCAATGAGCACTTTGAGCGTCTGTTTGAGACTCTGCAGGAGAGGAAGTCTGAGATGCTGAAGTCCATCGAGCAGTCTCGAAACCGACGCCTCGACCAACTCAAAGTTCAGGTATGACATACTAGGGCTGAGTTTCATTCCTATTAATCATTATGTTTCTGCATAAACATGAATCATGCTTGCATCGAACACATGACAAATATCGACTTGTTTGTCTCTGATAAGTGGTGCAATCGAGCCTTTTCTTTTAAAGGGAATTAGTTTTCTGAGGATTCTAAATGTTTTAATGAATTGCTAAAGGTAAAAATGCCCCTGTGTTTATTTTTTCTCAGGTGGAGGAGTACCAGGGCATGCTGGAGAACAGCGGTCTAGTGGGCTACGCTCAGGAGGTTCTGAAAGAGACGGATCACTCCTGCTTTGTACAGACTGCAAAGCAGCTGCACACCAGGTAAACTCACTGAAAATCCTTTTTACAAAATGTCCACTAAACTACGTAATTGTTGCCTTACAAATGGTACTCGGATACATTTCAGAAGATTTTTAAATCCCAAGATATCATTTATAACAGCGAAAGTTCACGATCATGGATGAGTTTTTGTTCCCCTTTCCAGTCATGAATACTTAATGTTATGGTGAGATATTAAAGATTCTGAATTATACCAGGGGCCTTACAAAATTGCAATTTAATTATTAAATCCCAAAAGATGGCTGTCTACATCTCAATCAATAACACAAAGTCAGCAATTAACATTAACATAAAAGTGTGTGTGCATGTTTAAAATGGAGTGCACATAAGCACCTCTCCGGCGTCTTGGAAGATTTCCTCTCAACAGGAAGCTGAGCTGTGCAGGAATGATTATTCGCACCACTAAAATCCTTACTGTAAACTGTGGTTAGCTGTCTCATAAATAAATAAGAAGCTTAGTAATGATTACCAGATATAAATCCAACACACTTTACAGAAGCCAAACATAACTGTTTAACAGGCCCCACAGTGGGAGACTGAAGTGTGATATGACTACTTTCTTCTGCTCACAGTTTATCATTAGCAATGGCTTCCATTTTCCCAGTGATTTCATAAGTAGGATTTGCTTTGTTTATTTTTAGTCTTGAGAGCATCCAGCTTATGTGTTTGGGTGACTACAGTGTGTCAGAAACACAAAGTCACGTGCACAAAGGTTGCCAGACTTGTGGAGAGTTAAGTTAAGACTAATGCTGCTGCAGTGTCCAGTCAGTGCTGCCTTCTGCCCTAAGCTCACTAATTGATCTCTCTTAGCAGCTTTGGATCATCAGGAAGCCATTTCACTCTCGACCATGATACTAAGCCCTGTTCACTTTCCTCCTGTTGACAAGCACTTCAATCATGTTTTTCACTTTAGAATATAGATGCAACTGCATAAATGAGGATAGATTACATGGTGGATTTTATAATGTTTGAGCACTCGAGATATTGAGAAAAATAAATCTGTAGTGAAGTGTGGTCCTTTTTGTGTTGTCTTGAAATACAGCTGTTGGATTTGCAAAACTAATGTAATGCTAATCATGAATCACCTCCATCAATAAATGTTGTTGCCTTGTTTGTTTTCAGGATCCAGAAGGCCACAGAGTCTCTGAGGACTTTCCACCCTGCGTCTGATCCCTGCTTTGATGAGTTTGTGCTGGACACATCCAGAGAGGAAATGCTTCTCAAAGAGATGTGCTTTGGAGGAGGTGAACCATTTTGTTTTACTTCAAGGGTGTGAAATATTTGTATATCCAGATACAATATATAGAATGAGGCTCTGACCATATTATACAAAACAAGATTATTACATTTTAGGAATGATTCTTATTTTTTATTTTAAATCACTTTCCATGTGAAATAAATACTTTCAGCCCATTTTGTGACAGCTGTTCTCATGGAGTACATTGTTTCTTTGTAGTGTCTCCACACATCATTTCTCTTGGAAACTTTGTGTTAAAGGACAAGGCTCAATGAGAACTTGCCCTCAAGCGGCTGGAAAAAGTGACCATTAGTTCATGTCAATGGTCACTTTGCTGCTTCTATTGAGCTCTGAAAATGAAGGCAGCCTTTGTTCATGTGTCTGTGTCGATTGTGGCAACTGGCTTTACAGGGCAGGGCCTTGCCACTTCAAACAGTTAGTCCAACAAAAACTACTTTCCCCTTCTTTTTTTTTACTAGACAAACGGCCAGGACAAGCTGTTTGTCTTCACCTGTCCATCACAGCATAGCTCTCTGAACTGTGCTGTGCCAAGAGGTCAGAGGTCATCTGTTGGATAAACGGATGTAACCCTGAATACACTCGAAGTGGCTTTAACTGCTTCTGGTCTGTTAAATAACCAGGGCCTATTTTTCTCAGAATCAAGTTTCCCAGAGATAAAAGGATACATACTTTAATGAACTGTAGGGTTTGCTCCATACTATTTCTGGATCAAGAGTTACGAGACTGAGAAAGGAAGACAAAAAGAAACAAGTTATAGAGACTCTGATGCCGTGCCAAAAGGAATGTGCATGTGAGCATTCATTATTTTCTGTAAAAGAGCTCAGTATACACAATTATTTCCGAAGTACTTGAAAACCTTTTGTGTAATTTATGTCGGATTACATTTTTGAGCCTACAAAGGGTGCATACAATTGAGAAGGTCTAAATTAGAAAGTGCAAGTACTCAAAGGTTCACTGAAAGATCAGTCATTGTCTTTAAAGGTAATATTATTTTTAAATGTATCATAGAGCAGCTGATGGGATCACAGATGTGCGTGTTGCACGACTGGGCACAAATTTGATAATCTTTGTCAGATAAGGCTGACACTTCTAAAATCAATTTGTATACTAAACTAACACTGGAGAATTGAACATAATACACGACCATTATGCACACTTAAACTGAACCTTATTGCAATCATGAGCTGAGTAAGATGTTTATATTGGATCCACCGCAATTAGAACAGGAATGTGACTGACTCTTAACGATTGAGTGAGACATTGTGTGCGTCTTGCTGAGGCTTGTTTGAAAATGCCCGTAGTGGCTCCTGTCTACATGCTGAGTGAGTGGCTGGGGAAGAGCAGAGACGGATATCGTTGTTGCAGATCATGACGAATAGTTGTGACAGTTTCTTCAGCCGGATTTAGCCAAAGACGGGTGTTACAGGGCATCCTGAAGAGAAAATAAAAAGTCTGATGTAAGCGATAAGGCGGTCTAAATACAAAATAAATCGTTCGAGACTTTAGCATCCAACATTTTTTGCATTTAACGTCCCTTTGGCATGAGTGGATCCAGCTGACGATGTTCTAAGTGACTGTTGGAGAGTTGGCGAGCTTTTGTTGCTACAATGAAGTACAGCCATTGTTTGCTTGTTAAAAATCAGTGATGTGAGATTTATTTCTGAGACTTCAGTTGGTTTTGTCTAAACTCATGGACAAATTGACCACTTTCTGTTCAACTCATTCAAAGAAGAAACCGTTGGAAAATCCCTTGATGATAATTAAACAAAGTACAATGAAGAAAATAGTTTAAAGGTTTTACAGAAGGTATCCTACAAGTGGGAAAATGTTTCTTTGAACATTCAAATCGGTCATTGAAGCACCACTCGTAGGAAAAGTACAATAAAACAAGAAATGTACAAAATGCAGCAACCGATTGCATCACTAGAACCGTCACTGTTCAATATTGGGTAGCCATTTCCATATTGTGTTGTAGTTTGAAAATGATTAATGTAGATGTAAACTACAACAGTTTAATTCCACTGTTTATTCAGACACTTTTTGTAGCTTAACAATACCCCGAGATGAGCATTACCTGCTGTTATCCTAATCTCAAGCTGTGTTTAAATTGACTTAATATTCACAGTTTTGGCTCTTATACTCTCCTATAATCCTTACACTGGAGAAAATTGGATTTTCAAATAAAAATGTACCCTAAATGAATCACTCTGGGAAAGTGCTGCATGCAGCAGTTGTGTGGCAGTCACATATTGATGCGTGTCTTTAATCTAAGTGGCCTGCGGGGGTTACTGATGCTCTTAGTCTGTGCACAGAGTATAAAAGAAGCTGAAGGGGTATTTATACTCTGCGGTAATTTAATTGAAGTCTTGAGAGATGATGGCACATGGAAGAACGCCTATAGTGTCTCTGGATAGGGCCCCTCACCTCCTATACAAAGGAGACTAAAACATGTTTATGTTTAGTAAAAACTGAGGCGGATTTTAAATCCCTGGCTGACGGCAAAACATTTTCCATAATATGTTCTCAATGAGTGTCTTGTTCTTGTATCAGTCATAGAAAAAAAACCAGAACTGAATATTATATTTTGAAGTTTTAAATATGATTGGGAGCCATCTTGTTTGTGTGTTGTGTTGATCAATGCCTACATAACGGTTTCCCCTCCAAAATGTCTCTAAGAGATATCACATTCATAGAGGGAGCAGTGGAATGAAAATGTAGACAATAGATTAGGTTCCCTGCAGTGTAACTGGGCCTCGCCGTCTGTCTGGCTGCGTTGGATGGCTGCCTGCCCTGTTTGTTTTTTTGCCCATTTGTCCATCTGTTGAAAACGGGTGAAACCATATTTGTCCTTGTTAACTGCTGGTTAGTATCTCATAAAGAAGTGTAGACTGTAATTGTGTTGCATGGGTAGAGAATGATGTGTTGTGATAGTCTCTTTTTTTTGTTGAACTTTACAAAACATTTCTGCAACTAATCTTCATCCATTCTACCTGGCAAAATGTTAAAACGAACACTTAAAATAAAGTTAAAGTTTACTCATGACATTACTAAAGTTAGGTATATTTGATAGACGAAATGTTTTCAAGAAAAGTTTGGCAGTGTTAAATGAAGATGCATTGGGCTTTAAAATAGTGAGTTGTGCATGCGACAGAAAGACTTTGGAGACTGAGGATAAGCAGAGTGACTTTGGAGGCTCAGAGCTCTGTTTCCGTGGTGACAATGGTCAACAAGGGGAATCTATCTGTAGGAGAAAGAGGTTTAGAAAATGAAGTCTGTCAAAAATGGGAAGGGTGGAGAAAAAGAGGGGAACTATTACAAAGGGAATGGGGGAAATTCTCACAGGGAGAATGAAGAGTGTAGAAGAAAGCCTTTATCCCAGAGAAAAGCCTACATGGTTACAATAATGAGATTGTTTCAGGAGAAATATTAGCCTCGGCCCGAGAGAACAGTTAATGATAAAGTGGATTATGTGGACAGAAATCAGACGATGAGAAGTGGGCTTTTGGCATATAGATGGATGTTAAGTCGGAGGTAGAGAGTTTGATGCTTCTTAGGAATTCTTCACAACCAAAAGGGGAACAATTTGCCGCAGATGACCATGGTCAAGGGATTGAGAGTGAAAGTGGGAGAGGAAGAGGAAAGTGTTGGTGGTGTGGGTGTTTTAGTAAGTGCATTTCCTGGCAGTGAGTTGACGTAAAAACCTCTTAACAGGCTCCATTATGCAAGACAGTCTTGTCCATTGTCCCGAGGGGATAGTCCTGATCCTGACAAATCTAATCTTTCCCTCACTTACACTACGGCATTTGCTTAAACCCTAGTTATTGAGCTGAAGCACTGTACTAAGCATGATTAGGACACAGGAGGTTATACTGGCGTTTCTTTGTGATTTTTAAAGAGTAGGTTTTCCAGTTATGCATGAGCTGTGCATTTTGCTAATAACCAGAACCAAGTTTTCACTTCAGGATTCACTGCCATCATGTGCATAATGTTTTTAAAATGATGACAGTCTCCGGTTTCCATTTAACTAACTGGTCATTTTTGTTTTATTTTCTTCATGTCTTTCTAATCTTCAGTTCCAGACCCTCCCCTGATTGACCTGTCCACTAGCAGGGTCTATAACGAGGCCTTGATCTGCTGGAGGCTGTCTGATGACCACCTCCCCACAGATCACCACGTGATGGAGTATCGCAGGTGGGTGCACGGGTACAAATATATATAACAGCAAGAGAAGAGTGGAGCATTGTGGTTATCCACAAATAAGTTATAGTGATGTGGAAAATGTCTTTAACTATATTATTGTTTTCTCTAGACTGGGCGGCCCGAGCCAGTCCCCGTCCCAGGAGGACGGAGAGGACAGTGGGGCCTGGAGGGCTACAGACAGGGTGTATGGTCCCAACACTGTGGTGTGTGACCTGGAGCCTGACAGCCTGTACTCCTTCAGGGTCAAAAGCTGCAGGAACTCCATGTTCAGCCCCCACAGCCCTGAGGTCACCTTCCACACCCCCCCTGCGCCTGGTAAGCTCGACATGCCTGCTGACGTTTTCCAGAAAATGTATTGCACATGTCGGTTTATTTCCCCCCATGATGGGTATGTGTGTTCTTGGTCTGTCCTTTGAGTCTTGAGTTGGACCTAAGTGGATAAAGGAATAGAATGGAAGAGGTTATTTGAGTTCCTTTTTTAAAATGCAGTCAAAGTGTGTGTGCTATGTTTTTAAAAGATTAAGCTCAATCAATTGAATCTGTGTTATAGATGTTGTTGCTAAGTTCATTATTGAATTGACTAACAGCCCCTGTTGTTGGGCCTCTTCTGGCCAAGGCAACAGCTAAGCTCTTCTCTCCTTTCCCTCTCTGAACACATCTGAGTGTCTTGGATTTTAGGAGGATTATCACATCACAGATGCTTTGCTGTTTTTACATTTGGAATTCTCTTGCCGCCTGCTTGATGGCGGTAATGAATGCAATGGTGTTTTAGTTTATCACCATGGTAATGTTTTGTGCGTTTCAGATGGCTGAAGCCAGTATAGCTTTTGTCTGTGTGGGAGTGGGGGGTGTTGTGCAGCATGGCAGCTTGGAAAACAAACCTGTAGTTGCATCTGTTGCGTCCCATTTCAGCTTCCCTGACAGACGCCAGGTGGAATTCATTAAAATCCTCCCAAGCCATCTGCTGAACTTGAATTCAAATCATATCCTCCCAGGATAGCACTGCCACTTTGATTTATATTCAGCTGGCAATCATTTCATTCTCCTCGCTGCTTACACTGATTATTCATACTGCAAGTGTAAGAATCTGAGATTTGCAGAGGCGCCTTCTGTGGTGCTGTTTTGGTTTTGTCACAATTCAGACTGTACATTTCCCCCTCCCATGGCAGGGGCCTGCACACATGCTATATGACACGTCACTCCTTCATCTGATATGGCTGTGCTTTGATTGGTTTCCTACACAAGCCTTGTCATTGGTGTTGTGGTTGGCGCTTCCACATTCCTGTGCTCTCTGGTTCGTGTAAGACAGAGTGCATGGATTCACTGTGCGACAGTAATGAGGTGACATTTCAGGCCAGTGAAAGGCAGAGGACAAAACGCGGACTGGCTCTCACACATGGCTTACTCATGACGAAGCATGAGTGGACACAAATGCATAAAAACAAATCTATCCATTGCAGCTATAGCGCTAATCAAAATGTATAAGGACCTTGAAACATGTCATCACTTATATCCTGGCTGGTCAGCGTTTATCAGTCTTTTTTAGTAGGACATCATTCAGACCCTCAAAGCGTAGAACCAGCATGTGTAGCAGCTAATAGGCTGGTTGTGTAAAAGCAAATTGCTGCTGAAAGATTTTGAAGTCTATTCATGGTCGAGCTCAGTTTTCAGTCCCTTGTGCTGCTAAGTCATCATTAACTCGCTGTAAAAAGAAAATCCATACTATAAATATCCGTCTACTACTTAACTGGATTTCAAATTTTAAAATATTGTCGCTTTGGGACTAGTTCCATGTTGCTCAATTAATTTTGCCCCATTTTCTTTTATTTATTAAATTACTGGTACCCTCACATTTGCAGATGTTTGCAACGTGGATTTCCATGGAAGATTTACAAAATTGGCTGAGCCGATGCTTTTAATTTTTTGGATGCCCAGATGTTGAAGAAAATAATTTGATTCAAATTGTATGAATTATAAAATCAAAGGTTTTATGCACCTAATGTCTTAGGTTTCTGCCATATTTTGGCATTGGATTTGAAGCCTAAACTACATAACATAAAGTGGCAGCATTATTATCTGCTCAAATTTTAAGGCAGGGTTCTACTTTTATCATTAATATGGCCTAGTTTTTGGAAGGACTTTCCTACACGCATGCTAATTGAAGGTGACCTATCATGCAAAATGCACTTTTGTACGTCTTTTTATACATGAATATGTCCCCGGTGTTCCAGGGAACTCACCAAGTGTCAGAAAACACAACCCTCTCTATTTTCCTCTGTACCCAAATCTCTAAAAAAGGGGCTGCAACTGATCTGATCAGCTGATCCAGATTTGAACACTTCTGTGACGTCACAGAAGTGGCGCTGGGCCAACTCCACCAATCAGGAGGAGACAGCCACGGACATTGCCGTTCGAAAGCGCTGGAGACGCTGTAGTACATATGCTAGGCCTGTAGATGGTGCTGTTCTCACAGAATCAGCCCATGCAAAGACAGTGTTAAATTGAGCGAAATGAGGAATGGCTAAAATTCTGTTTGGTATTTTGAAAAAAAATAAAAAGTATAAATATGCCTTGTATAGGTATGGTCCTACACTATATTATTCAAATATAGCATGATAGGTCACCTTTAAATGGTGTTCCCCTATAGACCTTGGATTACATGGTATTCTGGATATTGTGGCCTTTGGCCCATAAACTATGTATAGAATGCATTTAATTGCACCCACATATTAAATATAAATAACATCTGCACATGGATTGAGCTTTATGGCTGTTCTTCATGGTTTGATAATGATGGCATCTAGGTCTAAGCTCTTTAAGATTGTACTGTAGCGCCCTCGTGTGTCCACTCTTGTCACCTACGCATTTCCAGTTCTCTAAAAGAGGGAATACAACTCTGCCTTTTGCACAAATTGTATAGACTCTGTTTCCTTTTCTGATTTCTTTTGAATGCTTTTTATTCTCCACCTTTTTCTTGTTTTGATCACCCTTCTGTAATTTGTCTTCTCTCCCGTTTGTTTAATCTATGGTTCGTTCTCCCTCCATCTCTACACATTCAGCTTTCGGTTTCCTGTTCAGCGACAAATGTGGCTTCAGCACGGAGCGGCTAATTCTCAACAAGCGCCGGGACACTGTGGAGAGCGTAGCTAGCATGGCCTTCCTCCTGGCTGCAGAGCGTGTGCAGACGGGCAGCTTCATCGGACTGGACTACATCATTGGGGACATGGGCATCTCTCAGGGAAGGTATGCAAAAAGCTGACAACAACCCTTGATTTTATACAAAGTTGTTTCCTTAATTTGACACGTGTTCAGTGAAAACAGAAACATTAGACTATTAATGTCATGTTGCCTAGATATAACATATTCAAGTGAAAACCCAGATGGAACTTTTTTTAATTATTTTGAGCAGAAGGTTGTTGTCATATCTCTAGTCTTTTTTTTTAGCCTCCAATCAAGTTGCTGATAAGATTTTATCTGCACCAGGAATGTCAAAGGACAAATGATAACCAATAGATCATTGTCATTTCCAGCCCTGCAGTATTAAAATCATTTATTCCCATTTGTTTTGCAGACACTATTGGGCCTTCAAGGTGGAGCCGTACTCCTACATGGTTAAATTTGGAGTGGCCTCTGACTCAAAGCTTCTCGAATGGTTTCACAATCCGAGAGATACCAGCAGCCCAAGGTAAGTGCAAGCAGATCTCTACGTACGCAACCCACAGCTGACCCGAAGTTCATCCATTAAAAACAAATAGTAAAACTGCAACAACTTAATTTTGTTGTACAATTTGTGTGTACCTTTGCATACCTTACTGCAGCACAAACAGACGTAAACAAAGTCAGCACAGCGATAAGGGTGCTCGAGTCATACCTAATCCTGTGATGTAAGAACCAGGATAAACTGGTAAAGAGCTTAGTCTCAGACAAAGCCTGCCTTTCTCACTGATCAGTGTAAAGGAACACATTTATTTACGCAAAGACATCTTAGTTCTTTGGTTACTACACGATGCATGTGAGGTGAATCACACAGGACAGTATTTAATTTGAAGGTCGAGTGCATTCTTAGCGCTTAATAATAACAAATATAAGTTTAACATGACGCTGTACATTTGTTATAATTGATTTTAAAAAACTGATCTGTTACAAATTCCACAATTAATTGTTTGAAAGATTTTACTGATTCAATCCACTTTCAAAATGTGAACATAATATTTGTACTTTTCTTTTTAAGTTTTTGATTGTATATCAAATGTGTTTCTGTTTTGCAATGCTGTTTCAGACTGTTAAGTTCTTAAGGGGTCTATTCTATTTTCTGACAATTCTCGTGACCAAATAATGAATTGAGAAAACAAGTAGATACATTGATTGTAATCATTAGTTTCGGCCTTCATATTTTTCACACACTTGCATTGGGGCAGATCACTTTTATTAAACATTAATTTCCACATGATTACGATGTTGTTTTCAAACATTTGATACAAAATGTATCTGCTGTTGTCTTTCCTCTCACCAGGTATGACCATGACAGTGGGCATGACAGCGGCAGTGAGGACACATGCTATGAGCTCTCCCAGCCCTTCACCCTCCTCACCCTGGGCATGGGCAAACTCTTCATCCCCAAGACGTCTTCCTCCTCCTCTGTCTCCACAGCACATGCAGCGTCCAGCGACCCTGGCAACCGCGTGCTCCCCTTGCCACAGCGCATCGGTGTATGCCTAGATTACGACGCGTGCCGGGTGTATTTTTATGATGCCGACACCATGAGGTGCCTTTATGAGAGGCAGGTGGATTGTTCAGGAACAATGTATCCTGCTTTCGGCCTCATGGGCAGCGGCAAGATTCAACTGGAGGAGTTTATCACTGCTAAGAGACTGACCTTCTGAGGCGGGATGGAGCATGCTCATGCATCCGGACCTGCTTCAGTTTAATGTTGGGCCTGTTCTGGGAAGAGCAGATTTTAATTACAGGGTGGTGGAGTACAATCCAAACGGATTTTCTCTAGGTCAGATGAGGCAGATTTAATCAGGGCCTTTGGTCCTAAAGTGGTACATCTGCTGGAGACTGGCCTATTTAGAGATGGCATGTGTAATGTAGGATCCATACACGAGAATGACGTGAATACTAGTGTCCACATACAAAAGTCCTCCGAGGCTGAGATATGGTATATCAAAGGTCTTCTCTATATACCAAAGTCTCTGTATCTGTTCATTGTATTTGCCCTGGTTTTAATGGCCAGCTATGATCAGCTGTTTGTATAGTGGAATTGGCTGCAACGTTATGGTTTTAACATGAAATGCCTTTGAGCTTACACTAACACTTCCTCTTTTGCCAGGTATATCTTAATAGATTGTGTGTATTAAATATTGGGTGATGTTTCTATAACTATTTGTCTCTATGTAGCAGCATAGGTGTAGATGTAATCTTGATGGACCTGAAAGCCTAGTAGCTACTTTAAAGCTAGTGCCTTTGTGCCTTTCTTTTTAAGGAAATGGGTCCTTTTTAGTTTGCTCTAACAAGTTGGTGTTATTGCACAAGAATTATGGAAATACTTATCAGCATAAATACTTTGAGTTTTACTGTAGGTGGGTTGATCACAGACACTGGTGTCAATGTTATAACAGTTACTAGTATGCGTTACTTACATATTCACTCTTGACATTATCACAGAAAACACAAATGTTCCTCCTCGTCACAGTTATGTTCAGCTGTTTTTGCACAATTATGAATGAAGCCTTGCACACGATAAACTTAACAATCATCACGCTTTGATCACTACCTTGTTAGCTTCTTCACTTTAAATGTTGTAAACATAATCAGCACATTAATGTCTCACGGGGACTGTCACACTCACAAGAGCATTCACATTGTACCAACATTAATGTTAATCCTGGAGTAGTCACTTTTATTTTAAAGCCTCTCACTGTTTGCAGGCCACTGAATGTGACTGACACCATAAAACCTGCCAGGTACCAGAACATCATGTACTTGTATTAGATGCCCGTTTTATAGCTGCATGGTCACTAATAGCCGAGCATGTTAGTTCTGGTGCTGCTTCTAAGTGCAACACACCACTCTGTGGCCTAGCAGCCTTAAGACACAGTCTAAAAACACAACAGTTATTCAGGTTCTTACAAAAAGTGCTATCGCAAACATACTTTTCAGGACTTTTTTTTTCTTTTCTATCAAGAACACCGTTTACCTGCAGTGCAGACGCATGAAGTGTAGCATATTAGTTACTCACTGGTGGGCTTGGCTGTCAGACAGATCACCTCAGTTTTGATAGGCTTTGACTAAATCAGCTCAGATAAAGTCTAACAGATCACACCGGACAGACTGTTTGCTGGCAACCACACTTGGATTTTTGTACAAGTATACTGTATATGTGCCTGCAAATGGGTTTGTTTGTACATTCATATATATTTTAGCTTTCTGGAGGGTAAGGGTAATCTGTGTTTTCTCAGGTTTCTGGCCCTGATCGGGGCCCAATGCTACCTACCTCTGTCAGGCCTGGAAAACCATAACTACTGTACCTTTCCTCACAGAAAGACATCTGGTTTCATTTGCCGCTCTGTCCGTATCGGTCTGTTCAATATCTTTGCCTTTTTCTTTAATGTGAGATGGTAAGCTGATCGGTCAACATTTTTGATTTTATTTCCATGTATATATTAATTCAGAATATATTATTTTCTGTGAAATAAAACATCTTAAATGTTTATCAGTTTTATGTTTGTTTATGGACTTGAAAGATGTGTGTCACTATTGGTGGAAGGGAGTGTTTTTCAAATGGTACTAATGTAACAACCTTTACCCACCTTTTTGTGTTTAAATGCTTTGGTTATATCTTGTGCAACACGTAACTGTTTTTAGACTTAGATTACAAACAGTTAATAAACTCATACTCTTTCATGTAGCTGGATAGAAACTTCTTGCAGTCTCAATTATATATTGGATTTCTGACAGTTTGCATTTTTTGTTTTCCAGTCAATTATTTTCACTCTAATGTTCTAAAGTCTCATACATGAGTTGATCCCTGTATTTTGAAATTGACTGTTTTAAGATCTTCAAAACATGTCTATGCATTTATGAATTTGCAGGTTTGCAGTTTCACAGAATGTATTTCCTCTTTATTACAGCACAAATGGCTGTTCTTTGGATTTCTTTATTTGGTTTTGTTTCACTTGTTCGCAGCACAGTTGCATGTAGTTATATAAATCTGAAAATCTCATACAATGTTACAATTTAAAATGCATCCTAGACTGATTTCAGTAATGAATTTAGAACCAAAAAATGTTGCAAGCTGGCTATCAATCCATTTCCAAGCTGGCACTTTAAAATGGCTCTGCTGGTGTGTAAAATAAGTGTGCAATATTATTAAACGGGCTGTAGGAAACTGTTAGGCCAGATGTAAGCAAATCAAGACAATTTGCACTGCAATTAGTAGTTTACTTGTGGTTGTGAAGGGGATTTTCCTTGATATAAAGGCTAAAAAAATACTTGTCTTGTAAATGTTTTTTTTTTCAGTAACTCTTTTTTTTTTAACTAACTTAGAGACAGTGCAGTTGTCCTTATCTATTTTGTCCTCTAGATTTGGATGTGGTGTGTAAGTGGTGGGTTTCTGTATTTGGTATGTAAAGATGTTGAAATATCTTGTTTTTTGCTCTGAAACCTGGAAACGCTACCATTTTTATTTTGCTGTGTGGGGATTTGATCAAATAAAACTAGTGTTTTTAAATCAATTGTGTCTCTTCAATAATGTTTACACATTTTTGCAGTTAAGTTACCATTTGATTAAGTTCACAGATTCCTAAACATTCGGACAGCCTTGTGTTCTGAATTCATACGTAGCTTACTGCTTTATGCAGACCAATAACTGCCAAACATCCAATTCAATTAGTTAAGGTATTAAATATTTAAATGTATTGGAAAGGTCCAGTGTATTTAGGGAGCTCTTTTATCAGAAATGTAATAGAATACTAGAAAATGCATTTCCTGCTGAAAATGCGTGCGAATGCTGTAAACTGTGTATATTTGTTGCTGAAGTGAAATGATTTGAATCAAAATTGTTACAGTTCAAATACATTGCAATTACTTTGTTGAAAACTTGAAAGTGAAATGTTAAACTGGAAGAGTAGGAAAAATAGTGAAGAAGCTTAATATTTAAAAGAAAAAAAAAAAGGTATAAACAACATGTATAGCCTCAATGTCTGGAAATAGCTGAATAATGTAATAGTTGAATGAAATTATGTTTATAGCTGAAAGTAGGCTGAAGGAGTTAAATGTAAGTAGTAGTGAATTAATGTGTATTAAGAAGAGAAAAGAAAGTAAAAAGGCTTGGGAAAGCAGCAGAATATTTTAACTACAAACTTTTGAACTAAAAACAAACGTGACCAATAATGTATAAAATATGTGGAACATGTTGACGTCAGTTTGAAGTCAACATCAGACATAAAAGAATAGGCTGAGACAGTCTGTGGCCGTGTCTCAATTCAGGGGCTGCATCCTTCGGAGGAAGCAGCATACACAGTTCACGATGGATGCAGCCTACGTATACCGGGTAAGCTGGACCGAGCGGCCTATACGAAATGAGACGGTCTAGCCTACGGAGCGAACCATGGCCAGGTAAATACGATTAAGGGTTTCCTTTAGCCCCCTGTAATGTTACATTAGTAAGTGAACAAGTACATTATGTATATAGCTGATGTAATTTAATCATATTAATTCATATTCTAAATAAGTTAATTTTTCTGCACTGATAAAACGATATGTTTTTTAAATGAATAACAGCATGTTGTATACATTGATTCTTAACAATATTAATTTTCTAATCTTAATAGCTTTGATTATAACAGTTTATATTCTCTTTCTTCCCCTAAACCAGCCCAGATGATGTCCCACTGACACCAGGTCAGCACCTCCAGGTCCAGCACCACCATGACCCCCTTCTCTGCTGAAATACACAATTCAAGATTTTCTATGACCTAATATAATTAAACAGAATTTATGACAGTTTAATGACCTAGAGATATCCTATTATTCCACTGCTTATGTACACATGTTGTAAATAATGGTTAAAACCTCAGTAAATGAAATAAACAATGTGTTTAACAGTTTTGTATGTTCATCTAATAACAAAGTAGAGGTAAGAATATATCCATCCTCTCTCTGCAGCTTCATGTCTTCTATTATTATAACGTTCATCATTGAGACAGAGGAAATCAATCATGTAATTTCACATCACCAGCAGTTAAACAAATATCAGCAAAAGTGTGTTGATCGAGTTGTTTGTTTTTATTATATGTGCAGCTGTTTCGTACGGACGGAGTATTAGGGCCACACTTAAAAAAAAAACCCAGAGATTTCGAGAATAAAGTCATAACATTAGGAGAATAAAGTCATAATTACGAGAATACACACACACACACACACACACACACACACACACACACACACACACATACACATACACATACACACACACACACAGTGAAGAAAAAGATGGAATCAACAACTGCGGACTCACTACCTGGGGTCCCGCCCAGAAGTGAAACCGACCAATGGAACACTGCCAACTCACTGCTCCGCTCAAAGTGAACTCGCCAATAACAAATAGCTAGGGAAGAGCAAGCGATAAAACTCCTCCCCACCTGTGTATAAATGTTGTGATCATTTTGGAGATCGGCGCTCTTGTTTTTCACTTGCCGTTCCGAGACGTGTCTCACACGGTGGGGCCCGGAGTACTCTGCAGAGTGCTTCGTGATTAGGTGATTGGGTGATGTATTGTATGTTTTTACCATTAAAGCAGATTATTGTTTAACCCTTATCCTGGTGGTGTGTGTGTGTGTGTGGCGCAATGAAAAAAGAGAGAAGACGTGAACTAGATTGACTCACTGGCTAGCTACAGTATAGCTGAATTCAGGAATATTTTTATGTATTTTATGTAATCAAGCGTTTCTTTCACATTAATATCAACACGGTTTACTCTTATGGCTGTGTTGACAGAGCGAAGAAGCTTACATTTTGATTCCAACAAAAAGAAACACAACATAACAGCGGTCCTATTGTGAGAGACT